GGTTTGACTGCTTGGGTCAACGGGTCACTGACCAAATCAACGGTTTTTTGCCAATGAATAGATTAAGGGTGAAACAAAGCCAATTGCCAAGATGGTTCCCGAGGTGAACAATCCAACCTTTTGGGTCAACAATACTTCAAAACACTATTGTTAATAGAGGTGTGCACGCCGAACCATGGGCAATTTTTGCAAACTGAACCGATACCACTAGTTAACCGGTCCGCCAGTTTTGGTTTTTCGGTTTTTTATATTTATAATATATATTATATAAATATATGTATAATATTATATTATAAATAATAAATGATATATAATATATTTATAAATAGATTATTATAAATATAATATATGTATATATTTATATATATAATGAATATATATTTATATTAATATATAAAACCAGTCCTTCGGTTTTTCAAAAATACTAGACCGAAACCGAACCGATTGGTTCGATTAACCGTATTTTCGATTTGGTTTTTCGATTTTTCAGTTTTTTATGGACACCCCTAATTGTTAACAAAAAGAAGAGGAGAGAGTGAGAGAGTTTAAGATTGAGGGTCAATTAAAAGTGATTTGAGAGAGGGTTTGAGAAGAAAAGGCCTTCTCAAATGTCTTAAATTCTAGAAATTAGGGTTGGTGGGAGTTGTTTTGGGAACCCAAATGTCTCAAAGAGCTATTAATACTTCAAGTTTTTTTAAATAAATAAGGAAAACAACAAAATAAAATAGACAGTAGGAAAGTGCAATCGGGACCTTTCTATTTTAATACATAGATAAACAAAATCCAACACAACCATTAGATGTTATCAAATTTCAAAATGTGAAATGTCCATTGATGGAATTGAATTCAGTTGTCTAGTCCTGTTTTTTTTTATTGATAGATCAAGAAAAGGGGCTACATAAGATGGGGGTAGCATGTTCCTAGAAATGAAAACAGCTAATCACACTTAAGGGTCTAGGAATGAATGAAGGAATCAGTTAAATCATTGGAATGCGCAAAGTTAGCTAACGTAGCAATGTTTTTTTTTTTTTTTTTTTATAAATCCAAGCGGTGCTACACAAGCTGGGGGTAGCACGTCCCTAAGAATCACAATTATATATAAAACCTAGAGGGGGAGGGAGATCCTGGATATTAAAATTTAAGGAGTCTGAAGGACTAAATTAGGCCTGATGAGCAAGCCAATCAGCAGCTTGATTCGCTTCACGAAAGACATGCCGGTACTCTAAACCAAACTCGAACTGGGTCTTCAAAGAAATGCAGTCTTCAATGATGTTTTGTATGCTCCACAGCAGTTGAGTTCCTCCACGAAGACAAGAAATGACGAGCTTGGAGTCCCCTTCTATAATTATGGGACAATCTTTGAAGTTTAAAGCCAGATTATGGGCTTCCCGTGCAGTGCAGGCCTTGGCCATGTTAATTGTGGCTTTACCCAAATAATATACCTTTATATCTAAAACTTTCCCACCATAATTTCTAGAAATGGTCCCCACAACACAATTGAAACCATTCATACAAGATGCATCAAAATTAATTTTGATTGTGTTGCATTTTGGGGATTTCCAAACAATCGATCGCCACTTCTTTGAAAATTCTCTATCGGATTCATTTTGATGAACTTTTACATTCTCATAAAAAGCCATTCTTGCTTTCTCCAAAACCTGATAAGGGGGAGTCTCCACCTTTTTAAAAATCCTTTTGTTTCTACTCTTCCAAATGAACCATAATATAAAAGTTGTTTTTTCTAATTTATATATTTTTTTTGTGGTTTAAAATTCACTGGTAAAAAATATGATTGATATCCTCTAACTCACCACATCTATCACAAGTGTCCTCTAGGTTAAACCCCTTTTTCTTCCAAAACTCCCTAGAGGGAGGTTTACCCCTTAAAAAAAGAAGAAGAAAAATTTTCAGTTTAGGGGGACAGCATAGTTTCCAAACTTTAGTATTCCAATTAATGAATCACTGGTGTATTTATTTTTACATAATTTTAGCTATATAAGCCGACTTGATGGAAAAATTACCTTTTGGTTCCAATCTCCAAATAAGTTCATCATCCTTATTCACTGAGGGAATAAAGATGGATCTAATTTTCTGCCAGGAAGAAGTAGAAACAACTTCTCTAACTTTTTCCTCTCTCCAAACTTTCCTCTGATCATCAATACATTCACTAACTAGTGACTTTGGATTCTCAATGTTTTCACCATTTTATTTTCTTCTGCAAGGGATGAATTTTCCATCCATTTGTCATTCCAGAAATATATTGATTTGCCATTCCCCAACTTCCACCCCATTCCCTTTTTCAAGACTTCCCTTGACTAGGGGATTCCTCTCCAAGCCCAAAAGATGCCCTTTTTAATACCAACAGTCCAAAATTTATTTGTTTTCAAATATTTGTGCTTTACCACCACCTTGACCCATAAATTATCTTTATTTTTCAAAATCTTCCATCCTAATTCTGCAATATTTGCTTTATTTACCCATTGGAGTTTTTTCAACCCCAGACCACCCCATCTTTTTAGGGAGCAAGGGTTATCCCATATCATAAGGTGTAATGGCTTTTTCCCATTGGACTTGCTCCACAAAAAACTTTTTTGGATTTTGTTTATATCTTCAATTACATTCACTGGGACAAATTTCTCATTATGAATTGGGGCATCATAGAAATCACAGAGTCAATAAGAACAACCCTACGGGCAAGAGAGAGTGAATTGCTTTTCCAGTCTACTTACTTGGAATTAATTTTCTCCCATACGTAGTCGAAGGTATTTTTAGTGACTCTTCCTTAGATAATCGGAACACCCAAATAAAATTTTGATCTCTTATCAATGGGGACTTTTAATACCTTTGCCAAGAATTTTTTTGGAATTTGTGGAGAATATTTCTAGAGAAACTAATCGCTGATTTGGACGTGGAATTGTCAACTCAATTCTTGGTGGCAGCGAGATTGTCAACCCAATTCTTGGTGCAACTCTGTTTGCAAGCTTGCAGCTTTACCTGTTTGACACATTATTTGCATGACCATTGTAATAAGGTTGAGTAATCAGCCAATTTTAGGGATACAATTTGAGTAGGCTGGGCCACGTTTAAGGTCAACCTAAAGCCCAATCCTAACTTTTGGGCTTGAGGCCCATGCCAAGATCGAGCTGAAGGTCAAACCCAAGTACCTAACATATCAAATTAAGGACTCAATCCTAACTTTTGGGTTGGGCTGGAGCCAGGGCCAGGCAATTGAGAAATAAGAAAGCCCGGTGCGTTAAAAATGGTCCTAAGTCTATCTACACCGTTTGATAGTAAATGTATGTATGAAACCAGACAGGGTTTTCCGGGCTCAGATTATACAAGGTAAAATGAAAAAAAAAAACAAGGTTTTGGGCCTGAACCCAATCCAACGACAACAGAAAATCCAACCGTAATCCATACAAATTTTCAGGGTGGATCAATTTGGGCTCAGGTTGATCCAGTCCAAGTTGCACCCCTAAGGCTCCGTTTGGTTTGTGGGATGGGGATGAGAAAAATGAAATATTTCAAAAATATTCATTTTTCTCTTATTTGTTTTGACGGAAATAAGGGGATGGGATGACAAAAACGTGGGATGCAGGATTCCAAAATCGTGTAATTGGGATCACACCAAAACATTGTGACCCCAGTGGAAAAACTCGAGAAAACTTGAGATTTCTTCATTCGTGGGATGGGCCTTCTTCTTCAATTGAAATAAGGCAATGAACCAGCGACGACAAACCAACAAGAGAACCAGTGCGGTGGCAACAATCTAGGGATGGCAACGGAATGGGTATGGGGTGGGGCACGCACTCCCCATCCCCACCCCATAGCTAAAATTCCCACACCCGTCCCCGCCCTGTCCCCGGTATCGAGGTGAAGATTCAACCCCCATCCCCGGCCCCGTCGGGGATGGGGAATCCCCGACATGTACCCGCCTCACAACCAATGATCTGAGGACAGATAATACTCGACATTTCCCCGCCCCGATGACTGTATCCAATTCCAACTTCCAAATTTGATTTGTTTATATTCATATTCGAATCCAGTTTAGATGCAATTGGGTATTGAATAGCATTAAAAAATCAAATTAAAAATGATCACATTACTGTATATACTATTGTTCAAAATTGGTATTAACCAGATCATGAGCTCATGGTTTTCTCCTATAATCTGCTTCGGTCCAACATTTTGGAGACGACTCATGTCCACCAAAGGCCAATTTTGTAAAAAACAAGAATATAGAGGATAAGCCCAGCTATAAGGTCATGACTTAAGGATAAGCCCAGCTAATCCTCCATATGGTTTCTTGGAAATGAAATGCAAGAAGTACAGTAGGGAAATAAGTTCACAAGAAGAAACGGTTGCCAGTCAACTTGTTACTCATGCACAGATTTGCAATATCAGCATTGGCAGGGTAGATGAATACAGAAGAAACAATGATCTTCCTATTGGATCACTTCACCCAAGGTCAGCAAGAAAGCTACGATATTGGTTGTCAGCATGGCTACCAGGTGCTGAAGCAGTCAAGGGACAACCTATAGTTTCATGGTTTCTGCTACCACATGTATCACAAGCAACAGCAAATTTGGATCCACTAGTGTATGACCTAGGATCATGTCCCTGTTCACCCATGACCTTTGGTGACTTTACATCTCTAACCATTGCATTCAGCTCAGCAAGCTCCTGTAACTGTGCACGTTTGTGCTCATTCATCCTCTCACTCACTGGATTTAGCAGATCTTCAACCATTGTAACTGCTTCATCCAATGACTTCTGGTTATCTGCCTCTACCAAGACATGCAGGTCATCATTATCAGATGGATCAGCTTTTTGTTTTGCCTTCCCATCTTTCACTGATCCTCTACCCCTTATTTCAATCCTTGCCCCAGTTCTCTTCCCCATTCTCTTCTGTGTGTTCCCACGAGGGCCTAATATAAGACCAATGAAATTATATCCAGGATATTCCTTCAAGGGTATGTAAAGTTTCCTGTATGTTCCTGTTGCTCGGAAGCATGTTCATCAGCAACAAAGGCCTTGGAAGTTTTAGACTTGTTCTGGATCTCTGTAACAGCAGACCTGTCATCTGATTCCAAGACTCTCGCTTGCACTTCTTTTCTGAAGGAAAAACCAGCAATGGAACTGAGTCACCTGCTATTGCATCTAGTTCCCGTTTCTTTTCATTCAAAACACTGCTATTGCTAGTGTTTTAAAAAGATGATAGGGCATTTGCCATGAGGTTCACCTTGAAGCAAGGCTAAATAAAAACACCTAAAATGTTACACTTTGAGGTTCACATGTGAAAATAGAAAAAACATCCTTTACACCATGATATGCTTTGTGTGTATATGCATGCTAATGTCTACGTTTCAACATATTCTAAACTTTTTGAAGAATTATTTTACATTTAAAGCTTTTTGTAGTTTTTTAAAAGGGTTTTTAAGAATGAGATGACTTCCACCAAATCTTCTGATGTTCTTATAATCCTTGTTCAAGTAATAATTTTTTCAGTTATACTCTTTTTGTTTTTCTCCTCTTAAGAAAAATAAAAATAAAATAAGCGAAATCCATGAGGCTTATGTCTCATGCATCTAAAGGTCCTAGCATCTAACCTCACATTTCCATATTTTTAAGCAGTTAAAAATATAAGCTCGAATATGTGAGAGGAAATGTACCCATAATCATGCCTTAATCCCTTCGTCCTAGTTGGACTTATCAAAAGATAGCAATGCAAGGACCTCTGTAACATCAGTGGTTCCCCACAACCATATATACCCAACACTACAAACACAGAACCTAGAGAATCAGAAGGTGGTCATGCTTGTCACCATGACCTAGGTTTCCAACAAATTGGAAAATGTGTTACCTGATCCAAAGTACACAAATGCAGCTCCATCTCGCTCAAACAACTTTCCACTTCAATCCACAGCCCCACTTTCCTAAAACAATAAAAAAAACAAGAGTTAGTATATGGAGTTTAAGTTAAAACTATATCGAAATCATCACTATTTAAATACCTCATAGTCTATATTTGAATCATCACTATTGATGGTGTTATAAGTGCAAGAATCCTCACCAACAGGAGCATCTACATAAAAGAAGAAAGTTAATTATAAAGGTGAAACGATGAATATTCATTTTTTTTTCAATATATAAAGATTCAATTTAAAAACATTACCCTGAATTTCATGCACCAACCAATTTTGAGAACACATCAATGCCTCCAATGTGTTAGCATGGTCTACTACCATGTGGACTTATTAGCCTTCCCCTAGTGCTAAAGGCAGACTCTAAAGCAACTGTGAAAATATAAATAGTGAGTACATCCCTGGCAATTGTTTGTAAGGTAGGATACTTGAATACATTTGACTTCCACCAAGCTAAAATATCAAAGTTCTGAGTTCTAGGCAATACATTTTCTTCTAAATAATAGTCCAACTCTGACATCACAATCAAATTACTTGAACTCCTATTAACAAACGAGTCATAATTGGAAAGCGGATCTTGTTCTTCCATATCAATGTTTACAGGTGTGTAAACCGAACTAACTAAAGTTCTACTACTATGTCCAACTTCTTTATACTTGGATTTGGATTGATACTCGTGAAACAAGTCATAACACAATTGATGAATCCTCTCAATCTCATCCAATGCACCATCCGCACATATCATAGGAAAATAATATTCCATCAACTTCATCTTATATCTTGGATCCAATATTGTTGCCACACCCAAAATGCCATTAATCACACACTAATACTTGTTAAACTTCTCCAACATTTTCAATGCCATATTCCTTACAACCTCACATGAACATCTAAGCCACTGAAATAATATTATTCTGATCTCACAAACTTTGGGAAAATATAAATTTGCTGTAAGATACTTAGTTCCTGAGAATAACTCAGTCACATTATAAAACAACTTTAACCTCCCACAAATTTTGTTTGCCAACTCCCGTTCTTCCTCATTTGGCAAACATTTATATTGCAATTCATGTTGCCTTAAGCGAGAGAAAACATCATTATAAGTCAAAGCAGTATGAAGCATCTCATATTTTGAATTCTATCTGGTTTTATAATCAATAGACAATTTCTTACTACTTTGAATTTGCAACTGTCAGGATGTCTCCTCAAACTTTTGTTCTCTTTTGGGGGTTACTTTCCAATATACCATACTGTCACGAATTTTTTCTCTCTAATCACAACTAATCTATCTTGTACAATCAGGTTAAGTATATGTGCATAATAATACATATGCAAGAATCTTTCATCCAACATAAGTGAATTCATAGAAAGCTTATTTATAATATCATTGAAAATGGCATCATTTGTAGTGCAATTATCAACGATAATTGTAGATAACTTTCTATCAATATTCCAATCTAAAAAACATTTCACTAACATATCTGCAAGAACCTCTTTTGTGTGTGAACAAGGCACATAAACAAACCTATAACAATAAATAAAACAAAAAAAAAAGCTAAGCATAAAAAATAAATATAAAAAATGGCAAAACTTACTTAAGAATACTAAATACTATTAATGAATTATTATATTAAAAAGGCATACCTTATAATTTGACTTTGTAAAACGCAATCAGCATCAATGAAATGTGTCGTGACGGTCATAAACCCTTTCTTCTGATTATTAGTAGTCCGCATGTTAATTGTAATGGCTACTCTACTCTCTTTCTTCTCCAACAACTTAATTGTCTTTTTATTTTCTTACTCAAAAATTTTCAAAATATCTTTTTTAATTGTATTTTTCGAAACCACTATAAATGTAGGTTGTAAACTATATAAGTACCTCTTAAATCTAATGTGATTGACCATAGAGAAAGGATACTCATGTAGAATGATCATATTAGCAATTTCTCTCCTTGAATTTTCTGGATCAAAGGTGCTATATGCAACTTTAAACTTTCCATCCTTCTTATTTTGACTTGCCCCCAAACATCGTTGCCTTGTATCCTATTGATTACGCCTTGGGCATCTATGCAAATGCTCGCGCAAATGTTTAGTTCCATTTTTTGATTCCCCACCAAGCTTCTTATTAAAGTAGTTACAAACTGCCTTGACTTGTCCATCAATAGTTATTTTTTCAAAATGTTCCCATACAATAGAAATGACTCTTTTTAGATGGTGCCTCTAGAGTTGTGGTACTTGAACTTCTATTGCCAACATCATTCCTAGAGCTTGAAGATGGAGAAGCTATTGTAGTTGTATCATTTTCATTTGGGGTTGAAGAAAAAGACGGGATAGCACTTTGGCTAGTCGGTACTGGTAAAGAGTCCAAATTATCTCCTTGTCCAAACATCAAGATTCAAAACTAACCTTAAAGAAAAAAATATATTTTATAAGTAGTTAAAAATGTTAGACAAATAAAAAACAATATGTTGAATTATATGTGCTTATACGAACTCAATATCACAAACTTTCACTATGACCTCCTTTCCATGGAATTGAAGAGTGTCTAAAGTTCAAAAGAGGCATCTCTAATTGAATATGCAAATAAAATCAAACTAGAACAACCAGCATTTAAGGCAAAGAGCTAGAAAGACAAGCAAAGATGCATTGGGCAGAAAGAAGAATAGGACAATCAAATCACTTTTTGATATTTATGATAAAACAAGTAAAAAACATTGATGCCTCTCTATACATTACATAGTATATTCACTACTGCTCTTAATACTGAACATAGTGTTAAACAAGCCTAGCTTGCCTAATTATTCACTAATTTAAACTTAACTATACCATTGGTAAATACATTTTTTTATGGATGGTTGATTTTCAGATGTTATGAAAGGAGAACAGACTTCTCTACCTGTTAACGTTTGCCATAATAAAACAAATCCACTAAAATATGCCTGCTGTTGTACTCCTATTATGCTACTTTGGATTATGTGCAAATTTTATTGTTGTTTGTTTGTCATGGTATAGTCCTGTAGGACCATCAAGAACAACTCCCAACTATCCCAGGAGAGTGTTTTCTTATTCATGATACTGGATTACCGCTAACAAATGTATAATAATCTAAATTAGTTTGCTCTGAAACTTTCACCATAATAAAAGCCTTCTTGTTAGCCTGATTTTACCACCAGACCAAGCAATGGTGCCTTAATTGGCTACACTAATAAAGTGCACACACAATATTTCCTTTACTGGTTGAGTTAAGAAGCAATGTTCTAGTTACTTCTCACAGCCCCTTGCAGGCTACAAGTTGCAGCAGCTGTGCATTTTAAATATCTCTGATTCTCCTATAAATAAAAACAATAAAGTATGGAGATATTCTCAATGAAAGGGCTGTGAAGACGATGTGAGGACAGCCCCTTGCAGCAGCTGTGTTTCTTACTTGCAGCAGCTGTGAAGACGATTTGTTCCCTCGGTACATCACTTTGGGTAGTGAATGCATTCAATTTTGCTCGAAAGAAAAATGAATGCATAACATCACTTTGGATATCTTGGGCGGAAGAACAATCTGATAAGCAAGTCATGTGCATTGTCAAATAAACTTATAAAAACTTTTCTAGCTTGCAAATAACAAAAACAATAATATAAATATAACCCAGTGAGAATAACCCTACAAGTGAGAAAGACAATTAGAAACTGAGAATGAGAGTAACGACTACCGAACTGAGAATGAGAATAACTCTGTGCTATGGTGGTCGGCGGCGCACGGCGGTCGGCGGATGAACGAGACTTCTCAATTTCTCAGTCTGCAATCGAAGACTGAATTGAAAACGATTGTAGACTGAGCCGCAACTCTGTGCTACGTCGGCCGACAGTTCTAAGGTGGCGGCGACGCCCGGCGGTCGGTGGTTGTGCAAAGGTTGAAGGTCTTTGAGTCTTTATATGTGGCTATGTGCGACTGCGAATTGCGGTTCTGCCTTCTGCGAGGTTGAAGTTGAACAGTGAAACTGAAGGAAACACGAAATTACTCTTACCCTAATACGTTTAATACATTATATATATAGGGGTATAGTTGTAAACTACAACCGGGGTCACGGCGGGTTCGGGGATTTATAAGCAGACCCCATCCCCACCCCGTCCCCGGTCCAGGGCAAAAAAAATTATCCGAACCCGACTCGTATGCATTTGTGATCGGGGAAAATCCGCCCTATTTGGGGCGGGTCGGATCGGGGACCCGGTTTTGTGGGTAAAATTGCCACCCCTTCACCGTTTTTTTCACTGTGGGGTGGCAAGAGAATCAGATACTGACAAGAGAACCAGTGCGGTGGCAGAGGAACGACGTTCTCCTCTCCCGATCTATTCTCCATTGTTTCCTTCGATGTTTTCTTCACCGGATACTGGCAAGGAACCAATATTTTCTCCATGACAGAGGAACCGGATACTGTTTTTCCCACTGTTCATTGTCTCCCTCTCTTCGAATAGGGACGGTAGAGGAACCGATTTCTTCACCGCTTTCTCCATTGTTCATTGTCTCCCTCTCTTCGAAAAGAGGTGGCAGTGGAACGACAATCTCCTCTCCTGATCTATTCTCTGTCTCTCCCTCCATCTTCCTCTTCTCTCTTCTCCCTCACCTTCTTCTTCTTCCTATTCTTCCTATCCACCTTTGATTTTCCTTCTTTCTCTAATCGTTGCTGCAACTCTCGATAGCGGCAATTTGCTTTTTCAACACTCCCATTTCTTTCTCATTCTGACGAAAGATCAGGTCGTAGCGGTACTTTCTACCATATTCCTATATAAATCAAACAATAAAAAGTTAAATTTTTACATCTTCCATGTCATCTTTTCTCATCCCATCTAAATCTTCCCACAAACGAAACGAAACCTAATTTACTTACTCTTATATGTACAAGACAACAGCATACGCGCGCGTACACAGTTCATATTTACTTACTTTGTCTGATGCGAAACGAAAGGAAAAACGCGAACATCAAAAATATATTAATAATATTTACTAAACTTGGGTATCAGAGCTTTCAGGAAAAAAAAAAAAAGAAAAAACCTCGGGTATCAGAGGTTTTTAAAGCTTCCCCTCTCTCCTCGAAGCTTCCTCTCCCTCTCCTCTCTACGTTAGCTGTGAACTCGACCAAGGAACAAACCTGGAGAGAGATGACAAATCCAAACAAATAAAAAAGAGGGAAAAAAACGAGGACACTAGGGGAGACACTTGTTCCAAGCATGACAGTCAATGAAAAAATAAGATAAAAATCAAACTTGTTTCTTTTCCTGGTCATTGGTCAAATTTCAAGGGGCCGAATTGAACGAACATTCGTCTAGCAGGTTTGGTAACAGGGAGAAGTTGTCCATCTGTCCTTGGAAAAAGCCCATGTCGTCGCTGGCCGGGAAATCCAGCAGCAGCTGCAATGACGTGTCTGATGAATCATTTACTTCGTTAGAGATAGAACAGTCTGAACCAGCTGCCAAGTCATCTACACCCCCTTTGCTATTTTTACACTCAACCTCCTCGGGTTGATCAGTAGTAAGGCGACCCGTCATGGCTGGTGCCACCTCGGTTGTCAACCCTGATCCTGATCCCCACTTTGTCGAAGACGATACTTGGGAAATGGGGCTTTGACATGCCGTTGAATCTGGCCCGCTTAGCCTTCGGAACGATTCTCCTACTTCAGAATTCCAAATGCGCAGGAAGTAATCAACCTCGGCTTTCGTAGAGGATAGTTGGAGGTTAGATAGTAAGGATTCTCTTGACAACCGGGCCTCCGCTTCAAGCCTGGCGCTCTCCCATTGTGCCATATGGCGTGTCGACGGGGATGTCGAAGGGGTAGCTACAGGTCCACAGGAAGGGAAGGAAGGAGTATGCGTTTGCGGATCAAGACCCATGCAGAGAAGGCGCTTCTTCAACTGGGTGTTCCAGAAGTTCTTGATTTCGTTGTCTGTTCTTCCTGGCAATTGAGAAGCTATGGCTGCCCATCTGTGAAACTTCATTTGCTTTAGCACTCAAAAATTAAAGGGAGCATTAAAAATGCACTAATTAACCAACTCTTCATCAACAATTGCTGATTACGTAAATTAAGTAGAAAAAATAATGTTTGCATTTTCTCTTAGTGGGTAGTTTCACCACCAAAATAACTGCATGAAACTGGAATTTAAAACCGAGCCTGCTTGCTCGATTATGTCCTACATGGTAGGTCAAGAGCTTTGACTATTACACTGCAGGGATAATGTGCGAAACCGAATTCAGATCTGCTCCTCACAGAGATCCCACCAGTATTGGAAATATCTCTCCATAAATAATAAATACAAGTATGGGAGATGTTTTCAATATACGGCCAGGATACACTGTGAAGCTGTTTGAAGAGCAGATCTGGACTCATACAAACCAGGCCACCATTTAACAAGTCAAAATTTAATGAGTGATAAAAAACCATCTACCGAGATATTTCTTTTTACAGAAAACTCCAAACTGGTTCAGCTTTCCTCACATCAAAGATTCAAGACGCAAGATGCTTAAAGGTCTAGTCAGTGAAGCTGGCTTTTAGAGTTTTTTTTTTTTTTGTTCCTTTATTCATTTCGCTTTTTCTGTGATGCAAATTGGTTCAGTTATTGGAAATATCGGAAGATGGTAATATCCCCTTCTTCGCGGTGCTCCATTGCTTCTGCAACTGGAAGAATTCAACATTTAAAAGAGTGAACACGTATTGAGTTGAAATCAGAGATTCGAGACCCCTTTTGGAATCAAAGACCGTTTATTGACACAATAGCAGACTCCTTATTTTTTATTTTGGCTCCTGCTCAAAAAGCTAAACAGTTTTGACTCTAGTGAAGCTGTGAAGTTTCAATTAATATAATTTATTTTTTTGGTAAATTAAGATTGTGTTGATAGCATTGCCACTTCTACTTTCAAACTTTTATACAGATGAATACAAATTTTTGAGAAATTATGTAGGTAATTGGCATCGGTGCTAAAACAAGTGCTGGCTCCATAAAACTGTGCTTATTTTTTGTTTATTTTTTTTTATTTGGAAACATTACTGCCACACTTGGTTTATACCATTCAGCATTCAAGAAGATGCTACAGCGTTGCATCGCTGGCAGTAACAGACTGGTCTAATCAAAGCATGGTCTATTCTTTATACCGCACTTTTTCGATTTTCAAAACATGTTCTAATCAATATTTTTTTTAGAAAAAACGGTATCAAACAAGAGACCATTTTCTGAAGCACCGCTTTTCCTCATAAAATACCACACACTGACGCCACCTATCGTTACATCTTAGGTGATGACATTTATATGAAACACCAAGTTTAATAAAAATAAAAATCAGGCATCTCTTAAGTTATTGGAATTACACAAGTAACTAAATTCAAGCACTGAACACTAGAAAGTAAAAAGAAAAATAGAGAAAGAGAGACACCTGTTTCCAAGAATGCCATGCAGCTGGATGATAATCTTCTCTTCGTCCGGAGTAAAAGGACCACGCTTGATGTCCGGTCGAAGATAATTCGTCCACCGAAGTCGACAGCTCTTCCCGCAACGAAAGAGTCCTGCCATTACAAATTTACAATTACACCTCCACCCCAAATAAAATTTACTCTAGAGTTCAAAAATAACTTTAATAAAAAATCGATTGATTAAATAAAGAAGGACCATCCTTTAACAAATAAACTAGAGAAATATCCCTAAATACAACAGTTCAGCCGAGTCCAGGTTCATTAGCACCAAAAGTAGCCAATGATCATTAAACCCTTTTTCGCTTTTAAATACTTCACCACAATAACCGTATAAAGAGATCATTTATTTTACTCTTCAAGATTTTCTTTTTCTGTAAAATGCTCTTCACGAAGAGTCCGGATCTGCTACCAACAACATTTTTGTCTGTAAATTGCTCATCATTCATGCGATCTTATCCGTCATCCTATCTGCAGATTTCAAAACCAATACCTACCTACACAACTTCCAGGTTCCAGCGCACATCTGATACAAGTTTGCAGTGTATAGCGATTGGCCCAGTATTATGAATACAACTAAACAATTCGGACTCCAACCCTCCAATCCTATCAGTTCAGTAACCTACGTGCTATAGGTGCTTTTTACAAAGAGCAATATTGCACTACTTATTTCTTGAAGAAAGGTTTTGAGCTCAATTTTGCCCTATGAACTGAACCTGGTGGACCAATTTGAGTCCAAACCAACCAACCAAGATTCCTTGATCGTTCATCGTTCAGCCTTCGTCGTTGGCCAAAGCAACTAACTTACTAGAAACTATCATAAAATAAAAAGCGGACTGAGTAGATGACCCGCTACTTTTCTAATATGAACTAAACAAAATCAACCTAAAATGCATACATATTTCATATTTATCATTTCTAATTCTACAAAAACATTTGAAACCAAGGATGAGTACACTCTTAACAGCAAATCATTAACGATTACTAGATGACTGGACCGTGCATTTGTACGTGCAAGTAGGCATTTCATAATAATAAAGAAAAACAGATAAATAAATAAATCCGGAAGAAAATACTCGAGTCATGCCATGGCTTCCACTCGGATTCACTGAAAATAAGCAGAAAACGGACTAAAAAAATTCAATCGGAAGTAAACACGTCATCGATTCGTACAGTTTTCAGATTTCAGCAACTAACGTGTTTACTCGTAATTGAGTTTCGTAGCCCGTTTTACACGTCTTGTTTGTAAGTTGGGGAACAGATCAGAAATACTCATGGTTCATGCATACCGAATTAACCAAAAAAATAAGTGTTCAAAGCATTTCGAAACGTCTTAAACGTGTCGATATAATGGTGTATGACATCTGGATAACGATGCTCAGCAGTCAGCACCGAGATTAAACCGACTTGACGGAGTCTAAACTCTAACTCTAACGGACTGACTCGGACAACTCGTTTTCCTCGTTCATTAGTCGCCCCGATACGATCCACCGAGACTAACTCACTCAATCCTGGAAAAGAGTGGGGCAAAACTCTTCAAAGTCGTAATAGACAGAGAGATACTAAGATTCAAATGTATTTTAGAAAAAAAAAAAAAAAA